GGGGGAAGGACGCGAGGGGGGCAGAGGGCTCCGGCCGGAGCTGGGCGGCTACAAGCCGGGGTGGCGCGACCGGGCCGCGGCGGCCCGCTGCAGGGCTCGGGGCGCCCGGGGGTCGGGGATCTTCTCGTCTCACCTCTTCCGCCATGGCGCTCGGGGCCCGCCGGGCGGCAGCTGGACAAGGACCGCCCCGCGGCCGGACTGCGCAGGCGTCGGGAGAGGGCGGGAGGGGGGCGGGCGCCCCTGGGGGCCGGTTGGGCTGTGCGCTGGGACCCTGGCGGGACTCATGTGGGTTGTCTCGGTGCCTTGCCTCCTGCCAGTCTTGGTGGGGCAGAAACCCTGGCGCAGGAGGGGTCATTTCCAGGCTCAGACGGTGGGCGCCAGGGCCACTGCAGAGGGAAGCGCTGGTGGAGTCTGTGAAACCTGCCCAAGGTGGTTCTGGAACTGGCCCCAGGCCTGGTCAGAGGGGCACAGGAGCAGCTGCCGCACAGCCGGCCCTGGACCACTGGGAGGGAGGTCGAAGCAACTTTACTTTTCCCTTCTGCCTCCTGACTTGAAGTCCCTTGAGCTCAGCATCTGGGGAGGCCAATCTAGAGGGTCCAAGGCAGATGGACGCTACAGGAGCCTGGGCCCCGTGTGGCATGGACAACCGGAACCAGAATGGAAAACAAACAAAGCAGAAAGCACGAGCTCCTGTGTGATGTCGGTGGCCAGGTTGCTGCTGTGGGCTCCCACGTGTGGCAGGAAGTGTTAGGTCGTGGGGGGGTCGGGGGGGAGGGGCGAAGGAAGAGGGCAGGGGGGTGTTCCAGAACCTGAGGGCACAATCCTGGGCGTGATCTCACTGCCGGCCCAGGATTCTGGAACTTGGACTGCCCGATGGGTCCTATTTGAAAGATGTAGTAGGGAAAAGGAGCGACAACTAGCTAAAGAGGCCCCCCACATCCCTCGCCGACACCCTCAGAGAGCAGCCTCCCTCCGCTGATGCGGGTGCCATGGAGACGGAGAGCAGCGCGGCCTCCGCCCGTTTCCGCCAGCCTCACATGGAGAGGAAGATGAGCGCCATGACCTGTGAGATCTTCAACGAGCTCAGGCTCGAGGGCAAGCTCTGCGACGTGGTCATCAAGGTCAATGGCTTTGAGTTCAACGCCCACAAGAACATCCTCTGTAGCTGCAGTTCCTACTTTAGGTACAACAGGGTTGCTGGATGAGGCCGAAGGGGTCCCTGGGGCTTAGGTGGAGACGGACACTCTGGTTCCCTGCGTCTTCCCGTGCCACCATCTCTGGGTCAGGGACGGGCTCAACGCGCCGGGCTCCGGTGAGGCCGATTCCGCGGTCTTCTGAAGAGGCTCTTGGCGCTCAAGCCTCCTCTCTGGTTCTCAGTGGGACCCCCGTCACCGACTGATTGATGGGCCTGGTTCTCCTCTTGGGGACTCCCAACCAAACATGTTCTGCTTTGGGCAAAGTTGGACATCTCTTCTAGGTTTCCCATGGAAAGGCAGATGAATCTGCTACTGTGGCCACCCCTAAACCCCGGTCCCAGGAGAGTCTGTTTCAGAAGGGGTGATAAGGGTTGGGTGGGAGAAGATGGGAGACAAGGGGGCAGAGTCATAAAAAGATTTACCAGAAAGGTCGTTTTGACCAAAATAATAACTCAGGAAGTAGCAGGGCTATTTTACTCATGAGTGGAAAGTATTTGAGTTATCAGTTCCAGTGAGGGCAGGAGCTATCTCGCTCTGTGCCATGCAGTCAGTGCTGACTCACAGCGCCCCCTGTGGGTTCCCGAGACTGTTTATGGGAGTAGAAAGCCCAGTCTTCCTCCCACTGAGCTGCTGGTGGTTTCGAACTGCCAACCACTCGGGTTGCAGCCCAACAGGTAACTGCTACGCCACCAGGGCTCCATGAAGGTGGGATCAATGTGTCAGATGTCATCGAGACTCCAGAGCAGGGGCTGGAAAGGGACCAGATAGCAGATACGTTCCGTTTTGCAGGTCGTAAGGTGCCTGCCACTTGTCACTTCTACCTTTGTGTAGTACAAAAGCAACCACGTTCGTTAGGTAGCGTTGATTCCAACTCGGAGTGACCCCATGTGACAGCGACGAGCTGCCACCCAGCCTGTCATCATTACAGGAGTGATTAGTCGGTCTTCCTCCCTGGGAGCTGCTGGGTGGGTTTGAAGCACCAACCTTTCGGTCAGCATCTGCACGTGGAACCATTGTGCCACCTGGGTTCCCGAAGGTAGCTATCCATCCTCACATCTACTGGTGTCCTGATGCCTGGTACCCCTACAGGATGGAGTAGAGGCCGCTGAAGGACTTCCAGGCTGTAAATCTTCAGCAATGCCCTGTCTCCTGTGGAGCAGCTGCTGGCTCTGAACAGCAAGCAGGGTGGTGCTGAACTCACCATGCCACTAGGGCTCCTTGAAGCCACCCTCACTCCCTGCCATCGCATGGGTGCTGACTCAAAGCGACCCTATAGGACAGGGTAGAACTGTCCCTGTGAGTTTCTGAGACTGCAACTCTTTTCAGGAGTAGAAAGCCCCTTCTTTGTCCCATGATGTGGCTGATGATTTTGAACTTCAGACCTTGCAGATTGCAGCCCAATTTGTAGTGATTACACCAGGGCTCCTTTAAACCCCCTAGACTGCACTGAATACATGCACATAGCTGTGTCCCAATAAAATGCTTTAAGGGTCTTAGAATGTGCATTTCATATCATTTTTACACATTGAAGTACGTTTATGTAAAACATAGTAAAAATTATTTTTAGCTCATGGATGGTGGAAAAACAAAACATGGGCCCGATTTGTAGAGTCCTTGCTATAGAAGAAAAATGTCCCCAAATCCATACACTGTAGAAAAATTAAGCAAAACATACTACCCTGTTTCCCCGAAAATAAGACAGTGTCTTATATTAATTTTTGCTTCCACAGATGTGCTAGGTCTTATTTTCAGGGGATGTCTTATTTTTCCATGAAGAAGAATACGGTACACATTTATTTTTTTATTAAAAGAGACCTCGCACTTCCTGTCTGCTCCAGCTGCGCTGTGGCCAACAGTGAGCTGCGCGGCGCACCTGCCGCTACGGTCCAGAGTCCAGAGTTACGGTAGCTTTGGGGGGCCTTATTTTGGGGGAGGTCTTATTTTCAGGGGGATGCCTTATATTTCAGCAAGAGGCAAAACTGTAAGTAGGTTTTATTTTCGGAGGATGTCTTACTTTCGGGGAAACACAGTAGATAGAAGAGAGACTTCTGTCTCACTTAGCACCCAGAAAAGTGCCCACAGACCCAGGGGCCCAATAAATAGCTAGAGTCGGGCTTGTTTATTGGGTGTCTATTTTGGAACAAGCACTCTTTTAATAAAGAAATTTAAAATCCCTGTTCAAATGACGTTCCAGTTCTAGTAGAGGAAACAGGCATTGCAAAATAAGTTTAAAGATATGCCAGCCCATCATCCTAAGTGCTGGGGGTGGGGGGTGGAGTGGAGCAACAGTAAGGCATGGTAAGTGGCAATTTTAAGTAGGGTAGTCATCCCCTTGTTGACAAAGTGACATCTAAGCAAATAATTCAAGGGCATGAGGGAGGGGAAATACGGAGATCAGCGTGAGCCGTCCAGGCTGGGGGAACGGGGAGTCCTAAGGGCCGAAGATGGAAGAGTACGTGTGGTGTGTTCAGAAGAAAGGAAGTGGGTCAACAGGATGGATGCCAGGCAGAAACAAGTGTATGGTCTAGAGGTCAGGCCTTAGTGGCCCGGATCTCAGAAGGCTTTTGTCGTCCCTGGTAAGGGCATTGTCGTGGATTCCGAGCAGGAAGAAAAGTCAGGGGAAGGCTTTAAGGGGAAGAGCAACATAACCTTTCCTAAGGATCAGCCTGGCTGCCAGGATCAGATGACCAATGCTAGAGGTGTCAAGGGCAGAAGCCGGAGATCAATGAAGAGGTTACTCCAGAGTTAAGGGGGCGGGGGCGGGCTGGACCGTGGAGGTCGCCATGGCAGTGAGACGTGATCAGACTCCGGATGCGATGCATGACCCTTATCAAACAAATGTATCGCTCGCTCGTTTCATTTCCATCAGCAAGGTAGAATTTGGGGGCCAATGGGTTGGGGCAACAGTGTGTTGGGCCCAGCTCTAGACCTCAATTTCTCCACTCAAAACATGGGGGGGTGGGGGGGGAGACCGAGTTATTGCAAGTAAAAGGCAAGAGTGACCGGAGGCGACTCTCCTGGAAGAATTCTCTGCTTATCCGCTGTATAAAGCCCAGAGTCTTCTCTCTTCTTCGGTCGTTTGACTTCCAACACACACTGTGTCCTGTCTCAAAACTGCCCACACGCCGCTTACGGAGAAAAGGTAGGGGCAGAATATGGCAAACTGGAAAGAATGGTTCTGTGGTTGCTAGCTTTGTTTTGTTTTTCTTCTCCCCCCTAGAGCTTTGTTTACAAGTGGCTGGAACAACACTGAGAAGAAGGTCTACAACATCCCTGGCATTTCCCCCGACATGATGAAGCTGATTATTGAATATGCATACACCAGGACCGTTCCCATCACGCCAGACAACGTGGAGAAGCTGCTGGCTGCCGCAGACCAGTTTAACATCATGGGCATCGTCCGGGGCTGCTGCGAGTTCCTCAAGTCGGAGCTGTGTCTGGACAACTGCATCGGCATCTGCAAGTTCACCGACTATTACTACTGCCCGGAGCTGCGGCAGAAGGCCTACATGTTCATCCTGCACAACTTCGAGGAGATGGTGAAAGTCTCCGCGGAGTTCCTGGAGCTCTCAGTCACGGAGCTGAAGGACATCATCGAGAAGGACGAGCTCAACGTCAAGCAGGAAGACGCAGTGTTTGAGGCCATTCTAAAGTGGATTTCTCATGACCCCCAAAATCGGAAGCAGCATATTTCCGTTTTACTTCCCAAGGTCAAGTTTAGTTGTGTTTGTTTGAATCCTGGAGGGGTTGGCCTAAGGGGCACATTTAGATGGATGAGATTCCAGTCCCACGACTCCTCCTGTTCTCTGGCATTTTGCAATTCACGGTTGCCTTGGCTCTGCCGGCTCCTCCTCTCCTAGCTGTAAACCCTGTGCCCAACATCGTCCTGCTGGTGGTGGAGGAAGAGAGGGGGACAAGGCCTCACAAAGATGTACTGGGTCCTTCTTTCACCCTTTTCTCTTTCTCCAAACCCAGGGTGGAAACCCAGGGTATGGGGTACAGTTAGTTGTAGCCAGTTGGTGTTGAATTATGTTACATGACCGGTGGAGATAGCAGCAAGTAGCCAGGGGGCCAGGGGACAACGACCACAGCGTTGCTAGGTTTCAGTCCCCTGGCAGACGACTGCACCTTCCAAGTTCACTCTTGGCATGTAAATGTAGACCACCTCCCCCAAACCTTTCCACTGTGAGTTACACATTTCAAGGCCAAACGAAATCTCAGCCTCTTTCCCAGGCAGACTGATGCAGGCGCCCTCATTTCCTCTGAAGGACTCGCTGTGTTTCCTCCTCAGGTCCGCCTGGCTCTGATGCACGCCGAGTACTTCATGAACAACGTGAAGATGAACGACTATGTGAAAGACAGCGAGGAGTGCAAGCCCGTCATCATTAATGCCCTCAAGGCCATGTATGACCTCAACATGAACGGACCCTCGAATTCTGACTTCACCAACCCGCTCACCAGGCCCCGCCTGCCCTATGCCATTCTGTTTGCAATTGGCGGCTGGAGTGGTGGGAGCCCCACCAATGCCATTGAGGCATACGACGCTCGGGCAGACAGATGGGTGAATGTCACTTGTGAGGAAGAGAGTCCCCGTGCCTACCACGGGGCAGCCTACTTGAAAGGTTACGTTTATATCATTGGGGGGTTCGACAGCGTGGACTACTTCAACAGTGTGAAGCGCTTTGACCCAGTTAGGAAGACTTGGCACCAGGTGGCCCCGATGCATTCCAGACGCTGCTACGTCAGCGTGACGGTCCTGAGCAAGTTCATCTACGCCATGGGAGGGTTTGATGGCTACGTGCGCCTCAATACTGCCGAGCGCTACGAGCCGGAAACCAACCAGTGGACGCTCATCGCCCCCATGCACGAGCAGAGGAGCGACGCCAGTGCCACGACCCTTTACGGAAAGGTAGGGCCGGTGCGGGAGGGCGCAGCAGGGGCCAAGCCTGGAAACGGCCCATGCTCGGTGCTTCGGGGCCAAGGGTATTTCGACGGAGCACAGAAATGGCGGTCCTCGCTCGGCTGTACTGACCTGCTCCTTCGATGCCTCGCGGGGTCAATGCTGTCCTTATTTTCCTTGATTAGAAAACAATGCAGGCGAACATGGGGACGGGGGCAGGAATCGGGAGTTTATGGAAGGGCATTTAAGGATGTGCTCCTCTCCACCCCCACCCCCCTGCTCCACAGAGGGGATGTTCAATGCTCTTGGGGCTCTCTTCACACAGGTCTACATATGTGGTGGGTTCAACGGGAACGAATGCCTGTTTACAGCAGAAGTGTACAACACTGAGAGTAATCAGTGGACAGTCATAGCACCCATGAGAAGCAGGAGGAGTGGAATAGGTGTCATTGCCTATGGAGAACACGTCTATGCCGTAAGTCCCTCTAGGACCAGTGCACCAACCATCAACCCCCTGATTTCATAGTCACCAACAGTGAGTGAGCACTGGCCCAGCTCCGAGATCCAGGGGAGACTTGCGAAGGGGGAATTCTGGTCACCAACCCTTCCCACTTTACGCTTTTTATCAGTAAGCAGCAATAAAGGCTAACAGCCAACCTTGTTTCTTTTGCAACTACAGGTAGGCGGCTTTGATGGAGCTAACCGCCTCAGAAGCGCAGAGGCCTACAGCCCAGTGGCTAACACCTGGCGCACGATTCCCACTATGTTTAACCCTCGTAGCAACTTTGGCATCGAGGTGGTAGACGACCTCTTGTTTGTGGTGGGGGGCTTTAATGGCTTCACTACCACCTTTAACGTTGAGTGCTACGACGAGAAGACTGACGAGTGGTACGATGCTCACGACATGAGCATCTACCGCAGTGCTCTGAGCTGCTGCGTGGTACCCGGGTTGGCCAATGTGGGGGAGTATGCAGCTAGACGGGACAACTTCACAGGACTGGCACTGCGAGATGAGGTCAAGTATTCCGCTTCGACAAGTACCCTACCTGTATAAGCCTCTCCATTTAGCTAATAAAAAGTCTAAGCAATAAGAATTAATTCTTTTTTTAAATAAATGCAGTGTTTAAACGTGAAAGAGTACTGGAAAGTGTTCAACTTAAGGGGGCCAGGGTTGGATGGCTGAGGAAAGGATAGGAGGCAACTTCCCGGAACTGTGTGAACCTACCAAAAACAACAGCAGACACACACACGGCTCTAAAGAAATATGTTTATTGAAAACTGATGTGGAAACAATTAGTCGCTTTGCCATAGAAGAGCACGTTAGGTGGGTACAACAGGCGACTGAACAATGTAGTGTCTCAAAGGGTCCTCTGACTTCAGGAGCTAGCCAAGAGAACACTCCCAGCAGGGTAGGCGCCTGGTAGGGCTAGCCCACAGAACTCCGTGCATCACTCAAGCAATGAGCCCTAGCACACAGAGGACGCGATCTCGGGACAGCACACTTTCCACAAGTGCACTGCAGAGGAGGGCTCTAGCGTGTGTGCTTCCACATAGGACGTCTGTAATCCTGCACAAGACAGACGCCCACAGAGGTCATCGACGAAGGAAGCAGGGATTTGGTGATCTAATGGAATCCCTTGAATCGAGATGACTACTACACTAGGTCTCGGTTGCTGTATCACATCACTCGACTATGTGCTTCGCTCACAATGACCAAAACAAATAAAACGTGAGCACTGTAACAAAATAACTTTTTCACAAGTAAACTGGAGTGGTGAAATGGGACAATGTTGGATGGCCAAGAAAAAAAGGCTGAACATTTCCCCACATATTCTACAGTTAAACGACCCCTGGAAGCACTCTATTTTTCTAGTGTCCACAGAGAACTTAGTGCACAATTTTGTCCATTTTCAAAGACATATCTGGTCTTTTGATGCAAGCTTAATTTGAGGACAGCAAGGAATGCAAATGTACAACTCAGCTGACCCTGCCCAGAGTAGATAGTGTTGATATGAGAATTACGACACAGAAGGAAGTACTTTAAACCTCTCGTGTGCTACCCTCTTTAGTCAGGAAAACTACACAAGGGAACAATGGGGATCCTAGAAACTGCCTTACCAGCAGCCTGCAGGGTTGCCACAATCAATCTCCCACATATCTGATCTTTCCAGTTTCCTTTTTCTGAACCAGAGTGAGGATTGTTTATCATGTTCTCTATGAAGAATATGATCTTTTTAATTTTGGTCCCAGAAATGCTATGCAAAATCAGACGATCAAAAAACAAAAACAATTTTAAGTGACCTTTAAGGTTATTTTGCAAAAACAGGAAAACAAAAAAAAACACAAACACATTCTTTTCCCATTGGCACTGCAAGAGCAAAGGTGACTATCAAGACGCACAGCCAGGCATGCCAAGAGCTGCAGGTGACACGCACGACCGTAACACCGAGCTCTGGCTGACATTCTCAACACTGCTGATTGGTTAAACCTGGTAAGGGACCCCGCTTCTGAGATGCAAGCGGTCCCACTCTGGGGGGCTTCAAATCAAAGCATTCGTCGTGGGAACAAAAGGGAATCGAAAGATAATGCAATTGCCCCACACACTCTGAGCCCTTCATGTAGCTCTTTTTTGGTATAACCGATTCCTCCCTCCTCTTCCACAAAACACACAGGCTTGCTTGAACAGGCCTTAAGCTGTCCTTTGTAAGCCATGTTTCTGACTACTCAGATTTCCACAATCAAAAAGGAAATCTCTCACCCAAAGAGCCACCTTAGGCCTGGGTCAAAATTAGAACCTTTCTGCCCAATATCATTTATAGTTTCAGAATGTCAGCCTTTAACAGATTTAAGCAAATCTGGTTTCCTTCAGTATTAACAAATCAGTTAGTCTTTCAGAGACACAAGTTATTGCTGTGAAATCACACGTGTGAACTCAGCTATGACAGGAACTCTAGAGCCAGGAAAACCCGCACACATCATCATGCAATGAAGGACTTACCCCTTTCCAGCCCCAGCCTAGGCCGCCTGCTGAATTGGAAAACAAGTTACAATCAAGGTCTCAAAATAGGTGTTGCCTATATCTCGTCAGTGCCCATTTCTGCCTATCCCGTGGGTAAAAAGACAATGCTACAGATCCTTGGTCATTACTGTCCCACAAGACAAAGCTGAGCCTAAACACAAGCCTACGTACACCACCCATCTGGAGAGATGCTGGCACCCAGGGGAGCAGCTATGTTTGCTGTGCTGTCTGTCTTGGGAAAACGCCGTGGGGGAGCTCGCTAACTTGCACTGAACTCTCACAACTCAGAAAAATGGCTAATGAGCACTTAGCCGAATCCAAATGGCTTTTACTAATATGACTGCAAATACTGGAGAGCTGGGGTGGAGGAACAAAGTCTCATCTAGGCATGTAACTAAATTGCATTCAGTCTGAATGACTGATTTTAAAGCATATTTCCAACATATGGATTGACAAACCTGGTCTTAGGCAGCAACAGCAATTGAGACATTTCGGAAATGTCAAGGTTCTTAGCATAAGGGCACCAAGGCCAACACATGGATAGCCTTGGAGCGAATGGAGTGTCGACTTCTATGGTGGTATCCTAGAACACCTACGAAGATAAAGACACTCTATTAAAAAAAAAAATCGATCAGACTCATACTGCCAACTATTAGAGCAAGATCTTTCCTGATCCAGGCCTTTCTGCTCCCCGAGAGCTGGTGACTACAGAGCTTGCTCAGTGTGTGCAAGCGTCAGAACGTGCAAGTCTCCATGAATAGTCCCTGCTAGGCTACACCTCTAAGCCTGAATAGTACTCTGGCCTCCAAGTTCCAATAGGCCTCTCGGATCACTAGGCAAACTCGGCATGACCAGGGCAAAGACACAGTGAAACCTGTCTTTAGCAATAATTCTCCAAACGGTTACTTCCTTTCCTTTTTCTGAACCAGAGTGAGGATTCTGTACACTATGCACTGGAGCAAAGATTCAAAAGGAAGGCATTGAATATCGATTGTCAGAGCATTATTTACACGCATTAACTTCTCCTCAAATAAGCAGCTCCCGGTTTACAGGAAGACGAGTTTTCGTCCTGCTGAAACAAATGTCACATATGCAACTTCCGCCAGGATCGAATCAGCGAGAAGGATGAACACCTCTGCCAACAACCATAATCCAAGCTTGATGGCTTCGAGGCTACACAGTTGCTAGAGGTGAAAAAAAAAAAAAAATCCGAAAACCACAGGAGCCAAGCACAACATTTTTAACAGTCGTCTCTTCTAGGTGGCATTTCAGGAGAAACACATACAACGGAACATCGATGCAAACTTTCTGAGATCATCTTGCTGAAAAATTGTGCTTTTCCCTTCCACTGGGTCTCACTATTGCACATGCCTTTGCTGGCGAGGGCTAAATGCAGAATCACCCTCTGGTCACAACCAACCCTTCTGGATCAAAGAGGAAAATCAAGGTTAAGTGTGCAAGAGAAAGTGGTGCTTACAGCAGGCTCAAGATAGGAGTCCCATGGACAAAGGAGTTATAACTTGTTGGCAGAAAAAGAGCCCCCTGGTTTCCCCACTTGTCTCTGATAAGGTCCTATTACGAGTGCACTGCGCCACCCAAGGAGTGTGAAAGATGGCGAACTAACAGAGGTACATCTCCAGAACTGAGCTGCCGACTCCTCAGCATGTAAACGACTCCTCCTTTACACGTGGTCGCCGTCGGTTCAGGGAGCAAATAAGTTACTGGCATCTTTGACTCGGGAACAGTCTGGATTGCGTCAGTCTTAAGGGTGACTGACTGTTCCAAGCGGCCCCTCTGGGGGAACCTAGCATTCGATCTGAGAACTCGGCACCCGGCGCATGTTCAGGGCGTGCCGATGTATCTCCTGCATCTGTCTGATCCGGTCCTTCTGCCACATTAAGTTTTGAGGCATTGGGTACCTCTGGGTGCCATGCAAATACCGATATGGGATTCTCACGTGGCAGGCGGTGGCCCGACAACGGGGCTGTGGCATGGGAGGGAGCAGCATCCACCGCTCCCGCTCAGCACAGTAGCGGTAGGCTTCTTTCCGATACTGTCTGTCAATGTCGTCGCTGTTTTTCCACCCTCCAATGATGAAGACGTCGTCCCTGTAATAGCAAATGGCCGCTCCTTCGATGCTCAGCACTTCAGGAGGCAAGCTTGCGAGGATCTCATCGGAAACCTGGCTGGCAATTTTTCGTACTGCTTCCTCATTTTCTAAAGGGTAACTCTTAGGACAGCACGATGCGGTCTGGTAAAAGTTTGAATTGACCACCGACATCTGGAAAAAACAGTAATTGTCAATAAGTGGCAACGAGTCCACATCTTGCCACTGCCGAGTCTCTGTGTCGTAGCACGTGATGACGGCCTTTAGTCCATCTTCAGTGTCCCGGTCCACAGGTGTGCGGGCAGCAATGTACATAAACCGGTCTTCGATGGCGAGCGCTTTGACGTCTCGAAGAATCTTCGGTGCCGATTCCAAGTTGTGCCATTTATCGAGCTCAGGGTTATAAACAGTCACATCTTTAAAGCCAGGGCTAAAGTTGCCGTGGCCACCAATGCTGTAGAGCTTCCCCTTGACTTCTGTTAGCCCGAAAGAGTGCTTCCTTGTCATCAGACTGCAAACGTGTTCCCAGGTATTCAAATTCGGATTGTACCTTTCCACCGTTTTAGCAAACCCTGGTTCCATGGACCCAGCAACATAGACGTAGGATTCTGTCACTGCAACCGCATGCCCATCGAGGTGATTGTGAATATGAGGCAGGTTCACCCACCGGTCCTCATCCACAAAGTACCCCACGCATTCACTCAAGTAGTCCCCCCCTTCGGACACACCTCCAATCACCATGATCACGTCCATGTTTTGCCCATAGCGAGGTAAGAGAGAGACGTGAGAAGCAGGGTGCTGGAATGTTCCCGACTGTATGTTCTCTGCTCGCAGAGCATGCCTCTCCACGGCATCGGCCACCAGCTTGACGCAAGCTTCATTATTAGCCACCAGCCGCTCTGGTTTGACGTGCCGAGTCAGGTAGGTGGGCTTCATCTGGGACAACCGGAGCAATTTAAAAAGGTCCTCAAAATACCGCTCTCTCTCCTCCGCGTTCCTCTGAACCCACTTTAAAACCGTCTCAAAGAGAACCTCTTCAGAGTCAACCGTTATCTCCAGGTCCGAAAGCCAGTCTCGAATGAGGTGGAAAGGCAAGGTGTAAAACTCCTCGTCCTGGATGACTTTGTGGAAATTCCTTCGGATCATGTCGGCAGCTTTCAGAGCAAGTTGGCTCAGGGTGTACATGTGGGCTAAGCTATGGATGGCCACACAGTTGGAAAGATGAAGCTTTTTCTTAAGAAATTCTCCACAAAATTCTTTTAAACGAATTAATAAAAACCTAGAATCAAGAGAAAGAAAAAGGGTTAATTCCCAAACGTGCATATTTCCCAATGTTGCATTTTTGAGCATCTAAATCACACAAGCTGAGATGGTTGGTTAAAGTCACTTTACAACATTTGAAAAAAGCAACGCCTCCCAACGAGAGAGCACTGTGTTTGAAACATGAAAGATAACCTTCATATACTTATTTACGGCGCCACCCTGGTGTTGTGGAGCACCTCATCTAGTAAAGCCGTGTCCACTTCAACCTGCCGTCCACAAATCCAAATCCAGACTGGCCCCTGCAGCCGTGTCCCAATTTCTTGCCATCATCAGCTTCTTCTGACATGAGGGGACGTCTCCGAGAAGACTTTATGAAGCATCGACTATAAGGAGCCAGAGGAGCCCTGGTGGCTGTTAAAGAGTTGGACTGCTAACCTCAAAGTTGGAAGTTCAAACCCTGCCAGTCACTCTCCAGGAGAAAGTTGAGGTATCTGTTCCCGTAAGGACTTATAGCCTCAGAAACCTAAATAGGGGAGGTATGAGTCGGAATCGACTCAGAGAGGGAATGGGTTATAAGGCGCTCCGGTGGCCTAAGGTCAGCAGTGAAGAATCACCGGCCTCTCCTCGGGAGGAAGATGAAGATTTGTATTCCCAAAGAGGGCCAGCTCTACCCTGCACTACAGGGTTGCTGGGAGTCAGAACGGACTTGGTGGCAGTGAGTTTGCTGTTTGGTGGCATACTGGGTTCCGTGATGGGCAGGTTAACTGCACAGTAAGAGGTCTGAATCCAGCAGTCGCTCCACAGGAGAAATATGAGGCTGTCACATGCCATAAAGATATACTGAGTTGGCACTGACTGGATGGCAGCGGGTTCGTTTTTTTTTTTTAATATGGTTTAACCACTACCCACCTGTCAGTCTGTCATGCTGCGGTGGTTTGTGTGTTGCTATGATACCAAAAGCTGGTATTTCCTATACCATCAGGGTCACCCATGGTAGACAGGGTTCTACTTTAAGACTCAGATACACGAGGAAAATGGCTTGGTGATCTATTCTGAAAATTAGCCAGTGAAAACCAGCCTGTGGGTCACAACAGAGCACCACCCACCTCACTCACTCTGGGCAGGGTCAGGAGGCAGGAGGACATCATGTGTGGTAGGGTAGAGGCCACTGACAGCAAGGGAGGCCCTCAATGAAACAGACCGCCCCACAGCCATGAGCAGCCTGGAACAGGCTCCTGAGGACGGTGCGAAGCAGGCATACAGTTGTACCCAGTCAACTGGCAGGCAGCTATCTGTCGGCTCACCTATGTGGCATAAGGTAGGAGCAAGCAGGAACGGTCACTCTTGGTCTAGAAGGTCGGGTTATCACCCCCCTTTCTGAGAATGATCCTGCCTCAGGCTTTGAGGAAGACTTCAGGCAGGACCTTCATCATTCCACCACCCAACTTGCCGGAGTCTCTGCCTTCCCCGTCCAGCCTTTCTATTTATAGTATCTCTCTCCCCTCGGCTTCAAGGATTAGGCGCCGACAATGACCCCTCAATCCTGCAGCATCCCTGTCTCCTCCTGCACTGGATCTTTCCATCAGCAAACAAACTTGCTCTAGGAGCTCCTCTCCTAGGCAGGGTGACATTGGGAGACTCCCAGCAGAGTTCAACCCTGTTGCCCCCTCCCCAGCTTCTTCTCTTCCTATCCACAACCTCTTCCTAAGTAATTTCACCCAGATCTGTGGCTTTAAGTACCAGTACATGCTAATCTCCCCCAATCAGTAGCTCTAGCATCCAATGTTTCACTCAACATCTTAACTCAAGCCAAATTCCTGATCCTCCCCTCAAAGCTTCCTCTCTGTCAGTCTCACACATCTTCATTAACAACACCCCTTCAAACATATGGATCAAAATCCTAACAGTCTACCTCCCCTCCCGCCCCCCAACCAGTCCACAGTGACTCCATCAGTGGCTAAGCATTCAGCTGCTATCAGCAGGCTGGCAGCAATTACTGCACAACTCCTTCTAATATGACTGGACTATTGAATTGTACGACATGTGAATTATCTGTCAATGAAACGGTTTTAAAAAAGGTCGGCAGAAAAAAAAATTAATTAAAAAAAAAAAGGTCGGCAGTTACACCCACCCAAAAGCTTCAAGGTAGAAAAGACGTGGAAGTTTGCACTCCCAAAGGGGCAGTACTTGCCCAGGGATAAAAGGTCAGAAGGCAGGAAGGGATAGGAAAGAAAGACTAATGGAAACGGTCCACACCAGGACAAGTGGAAGAGCACCGTTACACTGTGGGGATTACAATCAACGTCACGAGACAAATGTGCAGAAACTGATGAATGGAAAACCAGGTTTCCCTGGGAACTTTCCCCCGAAACACAATGGAAAAAACCAACACCCAAAAAAACACAACGAAAAGAAAACACAGATGCCCCGGGGATGTGGATGGTCAAGAGCTCAGTTAAGTGCTCAACTACTAGGCAATGGTTACGCCCTGTGAACCCACCCAGAGGGGTTCCAAGGACAGCCGGGGCCTCTGCTTCCAGGTCACAGCATGGACTAGCCTATCGAGCATCACATGGAGTTACCATGAATCAGGACAGACTAACAGCAACTACCAACAACCAGACTCACTGCCATCCAGTCCGCTCTGGCCCACAGTGACCTCACAGGGCAAGCAGGACTGCTCCTGCGGGTTTCAGAGACCAAATCCCCATGGGAGCAGGCAGCCTCACCCCTTCTCCTTTGTGTTCCAACCTTGTGGTTAGCTCTACGCTTGCCGCCGATGCCACCACTGCTCCTCTCACAGTAACTCCTTCAAACCACACCTAGAACCGGACCCTGCTCATCACCCGTAGCCTCCCTCAATCCAAGCCACCCCCCCCCCCTGACCCCGACAGCTCCCTGCCTCTGCTTGTAGCACACGGCAGACTTCAAACTAGGCCCCATCATTCCCGCCCACAAAAGCTTCCCATCTCATTCAGAGTGGAGGAAGGCTCAAGTCCTTTCAGGATTTGGATCCATCCCAGTCACGACCCCAAGGTCTCTAAGTCTTCCCCTCTTGGCTCCAGCCACCGGGCCCCCTGCTTTTCTCCAACAGTCAGACACGGTCCAACCTCAGGGCCTTTGCACTTGGGCTTTCTAACAGAAACCACTCTTTCTTCCTTCAGTTCTTTGTAAAAGGTCTGCACGGAGAAGCATTCTTTACCTGCTGGCTCAGAAAAGATCCTCTCCACCCAGCACTTTCTGTATGCCCCATCTTGCTTTAGTACTCAACACATTGTAACAATCATCCCACACACTCTCTAGTTCTCGAGATAAAATTAAACAGAGCAAGAATTCCACAGCACTCAAAAGATGCGAGCCGATGCCTACGCGTCGGAGTATGTAATGGGATATGGTAAACTTTTTAGGCAGAAAATAAAGTACGGGACATGCAGAGGTATTCACTATGGCCACCTAGGTATGTACGTATTGTAGGTGATATGCATCCCGCACACTCTAGCAGCGCAATCCAGGTGTGTACAAGAGGCAAGAGGTGCGTGTGTTGTGCGCAGGAAGATGTTTCTGCCAGCTGTCCCGTCCCCTGACCCACATTTCTGAACTCCATTAGAACCTTACAGGCACAGGGGCAAAAAATGCAGCGGGGACATGGCCCTCACAGAAGTGATGTGGCCCACAACTGTGTTTGTTCACATAAGACCTCCGTCACGGAATACTGCCACCTCTGCACCTGGCTTTCACCAGCTTCCTAACAGTCCCGCATCCACGCTCCAGTCCAACCATTCATTGCCCACAACGGTGCGAGTCGTTTAAAAGCCGCTCGCTCCCTCCATTTTCCGCCTCCCCTTCCCGTCACACTCCTGTGACAACACACCCTGGTCCCCATCACCTACTCCATCAGGGTCCACCCCACTCCCCCACGCCCCTTCTCGAACCCAAGCGGGCTCCCGGCACCCAGCCTGGCAGCGTCTGCCGACGGGTACGCTCTCCCCGCGCCTTTCGCGTGGCCAGTTCCTCCTGGCCATTCAGAGGTGGGTCTCGACGTGCCCTCCTCGGCCAAGTCCTCGCTCGACGCCACCGGGCGCCCCTTCCCCTAAGGTGACCCCAGGTGGACTCCCTTTGCCGTCCCCGCAACCCACCCGCTCCCCCTAGAATCGGAAGGGCCCCGGGCCGGACTGGGCCGCGCTGGTCCCCGGACCGCGCGCGGGCCGCCTACCTGTCGGCTAACTCATCGGGCGCCCCTTCCCTTAAGGTGACCCCAGGTGGACTCCCTTTGCCGTCCCCGCAACCCACCCCTTCCACCGTGTCGGGCTCCGGCCCCGGCTCCGAGCTCCACTTGCGCATCTCCACCCGGCCCGAGCGGGACTCGGAGAACTGGCCCGAGAGCAGG